TTCTGTCACGACCCTTGTGACCTTAAGAAACCTGGGGAAGAGGTAATTGAGCAGCAACTACTACTTTGAAAGAAACAGAATCAAAATATTGAAGTTATTGACTCACCCTTAAGGCAGTAAACAGTGCATTGGTCTCTGACCTTTTCACATCCTAGGGCAGTAGATGCAGTGCATGCCACTGATTTTGATTTGGGTGTAGTTTAACCTTGAACTGAGCTCCAAGTAACCAAGGCAACAGGAAGTCAGCTTCTGCATCACACAAGTAGGAATCCATAAATCAAGTCCCTAATGCAAACACGGTGTGCAGGTAGAGGTTTGAGGGGATAAGTGGTCTATGAGAAATTACCTTTGAAAATAAGTGACTATCCCTTGATAGATTATAGCACAGTTTCAAAGACTTTTTTTCCTAATTTATCAATAGAGGTCAACAGGTTATAGCAGAATGTTTTCATGAAGGTTTAACTTTTTCCTATTTCCTCTTGGTTCTGTCTTTTAATTATGAACAGATGTTGGATCCACAAAGTTATTTGCATTGTTATTTCTCCCTTTTAAATATACACTGCAGTGTGTCTCTGTGTTAAGTACAGGGATACTCAGAAGGCACCTACTGCGAGTAATCTCCGTATATTTTGTTTTCTGAATTTAGACAGCAATCGTTTCCCAGATTCGAGTCCCCATAGCCAACTCCCACATCCTTTTCTCAGGCCCTGGCGTAGGCAAGGGTGCTATATACCTTAATATTTCAGCCAGTACAAGGCTCTCTGATTTCTTTTTTCCTCATTGAGTTTCTTGGTACATTCTAGGTATACAGTACAGTTACATTCATTATTGGGATTTTGTGCCTTTACAGGACAGGTCTTGGGTCTCATTTTTTCCCCTTGTCCCTGTCCTCCCTTCACCCCCTCCTCCCTCCTCCTTTACAAACACTTCATTTTCATTTTTTCATTTTCTCATATTTTTTCTTTTCCCTTATTACCCTTCCCCTACCCTTCCCACTTTCCCTACACCTTTAGCCCCCTTTCTTCCTATTTCATATTCATCTCTTACACACATCTCTGATTTTTTTTTTATGATCAGCCTCTAGCCTCAGAAATTTTCCTCCTATGGAGGGAGAGACCCCAGGCTCATACGGGGAAAAAACTCTCCACATGGCCCACCACTTTGGCCTCCCACACCAGAGAGCATCTCCTGCCACTTGGAATGAAGGGAAACAAAGTCTTCTAGAGACTACCTGCCTGGTTCACCCTCGCAAGGAAAGGTCACCCCTCAAGACTTCTCATCTCAGACAAATTTTGTCAGTATTCAGAGCTCTTTAATTAGCCTTAGATAAAGTTTATCTGATATTCTTGTCCATGTATGCCATGTCTGGGATGATTTCCATTAGCTCCTCAAAAATGACCAAGAAAAATTCAGGCCTGGGTTTCTTTCTTTCTTTTTCTTTACTTTGTTTTCAAAAATTGACAACTAGAAGGCAGTACTATAACCTAGAAAATTCTAAATTATCACGGGGTTTTGAAAAAGCTAAATAATGAGAATCTGAATGACAGACTGTTTTAAGTGTCATTTTATTACATTTAACAAATTCTGTAACGTAAACACTTGAGTCGCAAAGTATGCCCAACAGAGTATGATCAGATCAACTTCAATGAGATGTTGCGGAGTGAGACTAATTTAGGTTGTGAACATTTGCATGAAAATGGGTACAACTGAAATGACTTTAAATCAGTTTGTTCCCAAGTGAGGGTTAAATATTCTGCACCTAATCCTGTTCATTGCCTTCATTCCCCAAGCATAGCATAATTTAAACAATGAAGTACCTGTGACCACAGGTACAAAGATGACAAATAAGTGAGTTTTTCCAGGGGAACTCATGCTTTAGAGTTTCCAAGCTGCTTCTATTTAAGAGGAATGGTGCTGTACTGATGCAGAAAACCCAAATGGAGCATTGTTCTCAGACTCCAGACTGCACCAATAAACTTAGATTTCTCCCAAAATTTATCTTCTCACTGGAAAACAAAAACTAAGTTTAATACGTGTTTGTGCTTTAAAAAATATTAACAGTAAAGGAAGTACAGGAGCAAATTTGAACACTCCCTCCCATGAATCTCCACTGAGATCTCATTCCTCAGAGTAGCAAATGCTATTCAGATGGGTCTTCTTACAGCTGATTCTCTGCATACTGTAGCTGATCACTTTCACAAGTAAGTGTTACCAACAGGTCATACTGTATGCATTTTCATGTCTCAGTGGTAATGCCTTGCAATCTTTCTGTCACAGAACTTGATGTTCACCTGTCTCTACTCTCAAAAATGATAAAATATTCCATAAAAGCACAAATGATACTGTTATTCATGGCATCTCAAAGCAGGAGTTTCAGAGACCAGAATGGAGAGCAGGAGGAAGGTAGTAGAAGTATGAATTTCTCCCTAATGGCTATGGGTGGCTTTTCCAGGTGTGATATTAGGGCCTCCACATCCTCAGCATGAAACCTGCTTCGATGGACTCGGTCATGCCAGGTGTCAGAATGTGCCTGGGTAGAACAAGATGATCCTGGGTGTAGCATTTGGCTGCCTGACAACTTCAAGCTCTTACATTAAGACTGGTGTGAGTTTATTCAGCTTTTCCTTAAGCTCTCGGAAATGTGTTTTCCTCATCTGTAAAATTGAGAAAATACTAATATCCATACTACATGCTTCACAGAGTTGCTTCAAGGCCCAAGTAGAACCGATCTCACTGCGGCTGTGAGATAAAGGTACTCTGGGAAGGAACTGTATCATCTCAGGTTGATTGGGAGGGAAAACATTGTTAAGAACTACTGGAATAAAAGCGAATTTGTTGTTGCTGCTGTCCGTGGTGTCATAAGGCATACAGATGAAGAAATGGAATTCATGACCATTTGACAAGGATCAGATACCCTCAGGATCTAGGCCTGTGCCTGAGTGAGATGGATGGTCACTGTTTTGCAACTGGAGATTTTGAAGTGTCCATGAATCTTTGGTCATGTCAAAAAAGAAAACTAAACCTTTGCTTACCGATAAAAATTTGTTCAGAGGAAGCAATGGATTATAAATAATTATGATACTACCACTGATGATAATAATAATTATGTGGGCACATAATATGGACTGTGTGTTAGACATTTTTCTAAGCACTTTACAATAACTGGCTTATTGGATGCACTCAACAGCCCCTACAATGTAGGACCTTCACCATCCCAATTTTACAGTTAAGAAAGCTGACTACAAATTTAAAGTTTAAAATTGTAAGTTTAAAGTATGAAGAGGTTAAGTAACTTGAACTTGTTCACATAGCAGGAAAGTGGCAGAATCTGGATTCTAGCTCTGGAAACAATATTCCAGAAGAGCTCACAAGTATCTACTAGGCCTTTCAGCATCATAGTGACATGACTTAAGGTGTTTTTTAGGACCAGACCTCCACAGGCCCCAAATCAGCCCTTCCTTAGCTTAGTAACTGTTATTTCACAGAAATGCCCATAATGCACTTCCTGCCTCCAGTAGACTGTCCTTTTAAAAATTCTTTCTAAATTAATATGCACTAATTGTACACATTAACAGGGTTCGTTATGGAATCAATACATGCATACAGCGCACACTTTTCTTTTTTTCTTTTTATTGAGTTTATTGGTACTATCTAGGTATACAGTACAGTTACATTCATCATTGGGATCCTGTACCTTTACATGACAGGTCTTGGTTCTCATTTTTTCCCCTTGTCCCTGCCCTCCCTTCACCCCCTCTTGCCCTCCCCTTTTACACTTTATTTCCATTTTTTTCATTTTCTCATATGTTTTTCTTTTCCCTTATTACCTGTCCCCTACCCTTCCCACTTTCCCTACACCTTTAGCCCTTTTCTTCCTATTTCACACTATTAATTATCCCATTAGGATCTTGTGTACTATTATAGTTTTTCACACCAAAGAAACTATTCGGTATTTACACATGTGTGACTTATTTATTTCACTTAGGAGTATATCCTCAATATGCCTCCGTTTTCCTATGAATGACTCTAATTTCTCATTCTTTATGGCTGAGTAGTATTCCATTTTATAGAAAAACCACATCTTCTTTATCCAGTCTCCAACAGATGGGCAGATGGGCTGTTTCCAAGTTTTAGCTATTACAAACTGCAGCACACACTTTTCATTTCCAGCTTCCATGTATCCACCCTCCCACACACCTTCCCAGCCTCTAGTATCACTATCCTACATTTAGGTTAACGTTTTCTTTAACTTCTAAATATGAAAGAGAACTTACAGTACTTGTCTTTCTGTGTTTAGCTAATTTCCCTTACAATGCCTTTCAGTCCCGTTCATTTTGCTGCAAATGATAGGATTTCATTTTCCTTTCTGGATGAGTAATAATTCAATTTGTTTATGAACCACATTTTCGTTATCTGTTGATCCTCTGATGGGCACCTGGGTTGATTCTTTCTCTGGATCCTGCTCATTCTCATTCATGACATTGCATATGCTCTTCTCAGAATACTACCCTGCCCCGACCGTAGCATGATCTCTGCAAAGTTTTGCCTCCTCTCTTCCCACACTGATTTTACAGACTTAGAATTCCTCAAGCACCTGGGATGAACAGCATGAATGCCTGCATGAACTTGTTGCCTAGTCTTCCCAGATGGATGTCATGAGGAGACTCATATATTGACAGCCTCACAAGCTCCCCTTCATGGTGTACACACAGAGTAACATCTGTAAAAGACAGGCTGGTTGATCTCAGAATGCTAAAGGTTACCTTAAGCCTCTGACTTCATCACTCTTCCGGGCAGCTAGTCTGGAACCATTTCTCCTAACCGCAGCCACAAAACCAGTCATGGCTACTCTTTTTTTTTTCTTTAAATGTTTTAAATTTTCATTATCTTTATACCTGAAGGTGGTCGAACCATTTGACTATTTCCTCAGAGCATATTCAGGTCGATGTTCTTCCTGTTCCTTTAAATCAACTGCGGGTTTTGGGGTTACTCTTTTTTAGGGATGCCAAGTCCCCACTTGAAAGTGGACCAGACAGCAGCATACAGTAAGAACGAGGGCCCAGTGTCCACCATGATGACCAGGAAGAAGCCAGCTGCAGTTGACAGTGTTCCAATTCCACCAAGCCCAGTGTTATCTCTCCTTGCTGCCTCCACAGCAACGTCAGATGCAGGTGAGCATATTTTCAATGCTCTGGGCTCATCATCATGAAGACGGGTGGGGGGCGTGGCAAAAGCTCACTAGAAATTGTCTATTGAGTACAGCAAGAGTTCTCTGCTGAACCAATCTCCCATAGAAACTGGACATGGGAGCCATTACAGCATTGGGTTTTTTCATTTGGGAGGAGGCTGAAAATGGAAAAAATGGAAGATCAACTTGGAGGTAAAGAGTCTTCTCTGGTCTATCAAACATAACTAAATAATAACGGTACTAATTACTCTTCATCAAGCCACAGTAACTAATAGTTTTTGCATCAGAAGTATATGTAGTTTTATGTGATTCACAAAGAACTCTGTGAATTAAATGCCTGTATCTTCATTTTGTAGAGGAGAAAGATGACTGTCACAGCAATCTGTGAATAATCAGGATTCCAAAGCCATGATCTCAACCACTGCATTTCACTACCTCCCTTGCTCAGCAGGGTTGGAAGATAGTCATCACTGAGTTTCCTTGAGGCACTGTTATGTTATACCCATAGTTTTACAAATTCCCCAATAGTTCCAAGAGTTCTCACCAGTAGTGGTGCTCTTTATTCAGATATCCTGAGTTTATCACAAAGCTGATCCCTGCCACCTCTACTCTCCTCTACCCTACACTATCTCCCAGGAGCCCTTACACTAACCCTACTTTGCCAAGCTCAACCTTGCCACTAAGAACACAGGTCTTGCTTTTTTTTTTTTTTTTTTTTTTTTTTTTTTAAATTTTTTTTTTTTTTTTTTTTTTTTGTGGTACCGGGGATTGAACTCAGGTCCTTGCACTTGCAAGGCAGGCCACCGAACCACTGAGCTAAATCCCCAGCCCAAGAACACAGATCTTGGATGCAGTTTAGCACCTGTACTTGGAACAGTCTTATTTCCTATTCATTGCTGTAGATTTTTGAGGCCCAGCCAGTCATAGCTACTGAAAGTGCCTGTACAATCTAGGGTCTCCACTATCTATTTAGCATCTTCTCATAGACCACATTAGAAAATGTCTCCTATTTAACTTCTCCCCTGTAGCGAAATTGTGTGCACCTCAGAGGCAGAATCCACACTTAGATTCTTGCTAGCTCCATGGCATAGAGAATGATGTCATGTTCCTTTGATATTTGTTGAGTAAATATATTGGTAAACATATATTTTCATGTTTTTAGTATTTAGAAATTTCTCTTATTATTAGAAGCCAGGAATAGACTCATTATTGATATTCAATTCAACTTATCTCATTTTCCCATTCAGTGGGTACTTTGAGCAGAGAATTCAAGTTGACTATGTACTCACCTCCTTCATGGAAATCATACCAGTAATTAATAAATAAGCTCAACTGAAATGACAAAGAAATATTTGGAATGATACTTCCCAGGCTGAGTTCAGCAAAATATTGGCAGGGGTTTTGTGGGGGAAAAAAAAGATGTTTTTCTTGTGAGGTGAATATAAGAATGTTGTCTTCCTTCCTGCAGAGATTTTCAGAGTTTTTAATAGAACAATACAGTAGATTTTCTGAAGGAGGCACAGAATTTCACAATTTCATCTGAAAACACAACTTACTTTTAGGGGATGAACTCTTCATATTTCTTGAATACAGTATTCTCTAAAGTTGCCTGGGAACACTTGCTGTCAAGGAATGAGATCATCTCTCAAAAATGACTATGAACCTTTATACCTTTTACACACTTGGTGTGAAATGAGCAGTTTTTGATGGAAAAAGTAGATGCTTGATGCCAAAAAGAATAAAAAGTCAAGGAGAGAAAGTCACAGAAGAATGAGGAGGAAGATACTTTTGATGTCTGTTGGATCAATAGCACTTTGAGAAGCTAGAGTTGGCTGGAACACTAGGAGGACGCCACTTAGCGAGAACAGAAGAGGTGGCCACGGTCTGCGCTACTCACCCTGATAATTGCTTATTTGACCTTGTCAGTTAAGCACTGAGCCCTCCTTTATGGATTCAGATTTCCTTGATATTTTTGCACAGATATTTCCCAGGGGTCACAGACAGGTGGTCCCTTGTTTTCCTTCTGACACTCTTTCCACTCAGTGTGAAAGATGCCATTCTTGGGGTCACATAATTATATGGGCTTGCTACCTCTTCTTGCTTCTGGTTAGTAACTTACAAATGTGCCACACAGATTAAAGAAATAAGTTGGTACTAGACTTTTAAACCTGCCTCTCCAGTACTCTGAGCTTAGCTAAAACTCTCCCATTTGTGGACATTTTCAAGACAGAAATGGGCTGTTTAGTTTTAGCAGTACTCACATGAGACCCCTGTGAGAATTGCACAGATTTGGTCTGTTTCCACATCTCAGAACTTTGGGGGAGAAACAAGCCAGAGATCTACCCCAGGTGCTGGAAGCCAGAGCTTCCTGAGATTTCACTCCCCACAGATAAACAGCTTGCCACAAACCTGAGAGAGTTGGGATCACACGGGCTGGGCTCATGTCCAACACTGTTTCGCACATGCAGTAAAGTATACTTCCCAAGATTCGAGGATTCACCTGAGGTCATACTATTGGACTGAAACCCAAATTTTCTGACTTACTGTCTGATTTACAGTGGAACCCCACTTCTGTCATAGGTTCAACCTGAGCAAAGGCATATTGCTTTCTTCTAAACTATGGACTTGGGTTAGTCAGATTTTTGTCCCTATGACAAAATACCTCGGAAAATCAACTTAAAGAAGGAAAGATTTATTTTGGCTCATGGCTTCAGCAGTGTCGTTCTGTGGCTGTCTGGCTTCGTTATTATGGGTCTGTGTTGAGGCAGAATATGGTGGCATAAGGGCGTGGTGGAGCAGAACTATTCACGTCAAGTCAACCAGGAAGCAGAGTGGGTGAGGGCCAAAGAAGAGCAAGATATATAGTTCTCAAGATCATGCTGTCATGATTCACTGTCTTTAAGGAGACCCAACCTACTAAGTCTCCATTACCTGCCAATAATATCCTCAAATTATAAATCCATCAATGGACTAGTCCTTGGTAAAGTTGGAGGCCTTGTGATCTACTCACTTTCAGAAAGCCTCTCTGAATACATGAGGGGGGACTTCTTAAATCCAAACAACCATAACAGGACCTTTACTTCTTTGGAGAATAGTCTGGTGGAGTAGATAGTTACCTCTAACCAAACCAAGAAAAAGACAGCTCTGACCACCACCAAGCACATAGTAGTAGGCAGTTAACTGTTATTGAGTTTGACTTCCTTTCATTGAATTCATGTGCAATAGTCATATACATTTCTGATGATACAACTTGCTTGATTTTTGCTTTCTTTGGAATGCTGTTCTTCATCTTTCACTATAAGCAAAGTAATTTAGCATTACTCTTGGCTTTCTGCAGTACTTATTGATAACCTATTTTCTAATAAATTATCATTTCTATGACATGATTTTGGAAACCAGACAACTTCAGGGAGAAAAAAGGAAATAAGAGTTAAACTATGTGGTTTGTGAAACAAAGTTAATTTATGATATAACTTAGAGAAAAGAAGATGCTGAAATATTTAAAGTAATTAGGAACTTCTTTCATTAAAAAAAAGAATAATGGATACTAAAGTACCAGATACAGATCCTGACATATAATAGTGGTTCAGTAAATAATCTAAGTAAAACGTGATCTTCAGTGCCATTTTAAAAATGAAGATTTCTCACCTTATTTTATAAGTATTACAATATGAGATGAATGTTTGTTGGTCAAAGATATAAACATGTCTTTTTTTTAGCTTGAGTATGTGAGATGCGGATTTAAATGTGAACAGAGGCCCCTTGTTTAAGGTAACTTTTTTAGTCTCTCACAGTCTGGGACACATGCTGGTTATGAAATTATTGATTTGTCAAGGGAGTAGGAGAGGAGTGGCAGGAGAGGGTGGCCAGCTGAGAACAAGTCAGCGAGTGAGCTACTAGGAGAAAGGGATTTAGGAAGGGATGGCAGTGGCTGCCACCAGTTCTCCACAGGTCAGCCTGCGTGATCAAACTGCTCAATAGCTATTGATCTACTGCAGTCCCCTGGCACAGCCAAGGAGCTCTGATTCAAGGGAGTGCTGCATCATTATTGTGAGTAATTAGGGCTAATGCAGTAAAAGCTTCAATAAAGTTTGTTCAAAGTGATGCATAATTTGAAGCAACTTCTATTACACTTGCCCAATAATGATTTAATAACCATATCAGATAATCCATACCTGAATAAGTCAGGCTAATTTTTCTTGTCTTCTACATATTGAACTAACTTCTCAGCGAGATCATGCAACGTATAGTGAATTCATGATTTCACTTTTGAAGCATGTGTTTTTCTCTTCCTTTGTATTTAATATGAGACTATATTAATAGATAAAGTCCAAGTTATATTAAGAACTCACTAAAACATCAAGAAAACAAAAATGCTAAGGTTTTGCCCCTGAGATTCTATTCTAGGAATGATGAAAAGCCAAGTTGTATATCCTTTTTGTTTTCTCTGTCTCACACACACACACACACACACACACACACACACACAACACACTCATACACATGCACACACATTCTACTATTCTTTCATCTTAAATTCAAGGAGAAAAAAGACACTTAATAGGGATGCTGTCAGTAAATTTCAAGTATTCACATTGTAGCTGTGTGAGAAACAGCAGAGGAGCAGACTGAAAACATTTCTGAGTTTCTGGGTTTTTTATTAAGTTTAAACCATTGTTCTCTCAAACCATACAATCTACTTTGTTTAAAAATATCAAAGCCTGCATAAGTGAAAATATCTAAATTTCACGTGTATATTAAGTTTTTAGACATTTTTTCTTTTTATGGCAGAGCCTAATAGTAGGTAAACTAATTATAAACCTATCTTTGAGCCAAATCAATATAAATTATACTTGTAATAGATGCAAAACCTTAAGCTTGAAAAATTATTTACCCCTACAAAAATACTTTAAATTCTTAATTCTAATAGAATCAGGATGAAACCTAGGATGAGCAGCTAGGCACAATGATCATGAAAATTGC